AAAATATTATAACTTTTATTTTGGTATATTGTAAACCGTTAAAGCGACTACGTACTCGTAATTATACCATACTTGTTAAATAATGATTAATATTCATAATGATTTTTAATTAAAGCATGTTTTTTAATGACCGTTTAATGGTTAAATACCGATATTAGCACCTTTTTAATGATTAATAATTACTTAAACAAATTTTTTTTTAATTAATTCGTTAATTTTAATTACGTCATTATTTTGTTATTTTTGATCATTTCAATTATTTTTGATTCTTTTTAATTAAAAATTAATATAATTATTTGATTAATTTTAATTATTAATCAACAAGCCAAAGTATAGGCAAAAATGAGGAATATTTATTAACTGTTTGAATTATTTAGTTATTTTATTCGTATCCAAATCTCGAATTTTAAACATTAATTATTACTTTAAAAAAATTTTAAAACGAAATGACTGAAATGTGCAAAGTTAATGAATTTAATTTATTTTAATGAAAGCTTTTATTTTTATTTTAGTTCACTCAAAATGAACTAAAGTATTCGTTTTATTTTTAACTAAAATGTTTTCTTTTCCATATTAATAAAAAAAAGATAAAACAAGTAAGAAAGTCTAAGTTCGGGTGGAGCCAAACATTAAATACCCGGCGCAAGTATTAAATATATGTTTCTTCAGCCGGTAAGCCGGCGTGTATCAATTTTTAGTAAATTAGCGTCCTTAAATTTCGAAATATTGCAGTTTCAAGCATTTCTGAAATTTACCGTTATATGAAAAGCGGCCGTAATTTTAGTCAGATTTCAATAATTTTCAACGTTTTGCTTTTATGTGGCAAGTACAATGACTACACCAAGTTTGGTACAAATCGGGAGAACGGTTACCGAGATACATATATGTGATCATAAGTGGGAGGTGCCACGCCCATTTTCCAAAATTTTACCATAAACGCATTTCTTGGTAAAGAATTGTTGCAAGCATCAATTTTTAATAAATTAGCTTTAATATTTATCTACTGATTTATCGAAGATTTTGTATTCTCTAAATTACCGTTATATGATAATTTTCCAAAAATTTATATTCTTATTTTTCGTCTGAAAATTATTGTAAATATCAATTTTGAGTGAATTATCTTCAGTAGTTACTAAAATATCGCAGTTTTCGTATTTCTGGAAATTACCGTTATATGGGAAGTGGGCGTTTGTACAGTCCGATTTCGCCCATTTTCTATACCAACCTACCTTGGATTAATGGAAACCTATATACCAAATTTGGTTGAGATATCTCAATTTTTGCTCCAGTTATCGTGTACACGGACGGACGGACAGACGGACAGACGGACAGACGGACGGACAGACAGACATGGCTTAATCGACTTCTCTATTCATTCTGAGCATTTATGTATACATTTGTCTATATCTACCTCGATTCGTTTTGGCTGTTACAAACAACCGTTATGTGAACCAAATTAATATACCCTTGTGCACAAGTGCGCTCGGGTATAAATATAGTATTTATTGTACCTGAAAGCTTTTACTTTTAATATCATTTAATGGAAAATGCCTTTAAATTTATGTTCGAATGTTTGAAATATTTATGTATTTATTTTTCCTTTTAATTAATACTCAAAAAATTTTACACTAATTATTGGCAAATCTAAGGCTGCTAAATAAAAATGTGTAGTATTTTAAAGTGTACTTAATCAAAAGTCTTTCATTGTATATTCATGAATTCATTTAATTTTT